GACAAGAAGGTTCGATTATAATGAAACCCTGTTATTGCGCTGTTTAGATAGTGGTGCAAGCCGGTGAAAGCTAAGGCATCGCTGTCAACATACGCAAGGAAACAATATGAATTTGACTAATTCGATACACAGAGTACCGAGTTTGCTTGAGAAACCCGCTAGAGACTGAGAGGAATGAACTCATGTTGAAAATGAAAAACTGAATGAATAGAGTAATCGAACAGTCACGTAAAATTCCTTGGTCCGTAAGTACACTTTCAGTTTGCTTTCCATATCTGTAAGTCTTCCCAATACCGATATATACATTACGATAATGATACTAAACATTAATGAATTTCTTAGAGCAATAAAATATACATAATTGATTCTATTAAATTTGTTCAAGGAATGTAACAAACCTTACTTTAAATTAAGTTGTAACTATGTCGGATAACTTTACTGACTTCTCCCCGTTATAAAAATTTGTGAAAAATTATTAAAGTTACTGAATACTAAATACAACATTGACGTAATATGCAAAGGTTCTAACAAACTTAAGGTTTTATTACGTAGTTCTTAGCATAACAACTTGCTGTTGTTTCTTCATTGCTTCGAGGTTAACAGAGCTTAAACAGAAGAATAATAAGTAATAAGAAGAATTAGTAACAAAGATTTACGAGGCTTGGCCATTAGAAATGGTACTTCAGACTGATATCCGGAAAAATTCTGTTGTGACAAAGATCAAGTTTCTCTGTATAGCAATTTTCTACGAAGGACAAACTGCGAATACTGTCACTCAACGAATATAAACCCAACTGTCAAAGTAAAGAAAACATTTCTTCGGAGGAGCAGGAACAACACATCCAGATGAAGCACTTCGAAACGCGTGACATAAGAAAGATACTCTGTCAAGTGGTCAGAGTGTATCAGCATCGTCAGCGATTGAAGCTAGCAGAACAAACGCGTCAATGAGGTATTTATTAAAACGCCGGACCCAGAAGAGCCTATCATGCAGCAAGGCGATTGTTCAAATAGATGACCAGTTGCTGTTTAAGTACTGAAATATCAGTAGACAATACGAGGCTCAACCGCGTTAAACATCAAAGGAAGGATGCGAAGCAAACTGACCGCTGTAATGTCCGAACTCGCATCGCCGAAGTTGTTCAATAGAAAAACCGAAAGATTGGCCTTTGCTACAGAAGATAATAAAAATCATGATGTCTCAGTGCATACGGTTAGTTTTTCATATTAAATATGGTTCTAAAATTCATAGACTCTGCGTCGTGGTCGAGCAGATGGGAAGTTAACGGAAACCTCGATGGTTCCACTGCATACCTTCTAATTCCATACCACCCTTGGAGCAACTTCGTCGCTTCTGTCGCTAAACAACTGCCCTACTCGGCAAAAAAAGATCGAAAATTTTCTTCTTAACTATAGTCACATCAGCTGCTATAAAACATTAGAAAACTACCATCACCGTTCAAAAGAACCACTACCCGTGACATAGGGATCGAAACGTCGGCACTGATCTATCACCTTCACTTCAAACATTAATTCTATTGAGCTGTCGTGTAAAAAAGCAAATATAGGCAGCTTCTGCTGAAAATCGATAGAATGGTTATCCACTAGGTTGCAAAATTAAATTTAATTGTACCCTTTAATTAGTTAAAATCAAAAACGAACGCGATATACCTCGTTGGCAACGTTTTTAAAAAGCATCGATTCGTCATCGGAACTCACGTATCCCCTGCCAACACATTGACGACGTCTACACTTAAGATGCAACCTGCCGGGGCCACCGAATTTCTTCATATCCTTGCACGTGTCACACTGACCACAATCTTCAGTGTGAAAGCAGCCGATGCATTGGCCACAGGCAATTTTGTGTCTCCTTCTCCGCTTAACCTTATTTTTCTAAATTTAAAAAAATGCTCAAACATCGGAATGCTTAAAGATGTGACGAAAAACGTTTACCGAGGCGGAAGCTCGATCGCTTTTGTAGACGATGACCAATTGAGGATGCTTCTCACGACAACGAGGACAGTAAAAGCAAGAGATGTTACTGGCTTCCTTCGCCTCGACGCCGATGCAATCGCCGTGAAACCATTGGTTGCAGCGATCGCAACATCTACCATGCGTTAAAATAAGAATTCAGCAAAAACGAATAAGGAATAATGGAGAAGAGAAGGAAGACGACAATACGAAAGAGAAAAATAAGAAGAGTTTATAAGAGAAAACAGGTCGTAGAATAACAGGATCATGATGGTAAGAATAATGACGATAATGAAAAGAGGAAACAACAGGAAGTAGAGAAAAATAAAAGGGAATAGTAGAAACAAAAAACAGGAAGAACATGGCTGAAAATTAAACGACTTAGTCGGCGTCTTAAAATCACGCTGATACCGTATTGTGGATGACTTTAACTTAAGTATTACTTATTCGAAAACTTTTATAAATGTTAAATCTCCCCATGGTGAACAATGCTACCTTCGCTGACTTCAGGAAAACCTTTAACTCGATCCGGAAAGATAACCTTGTGGAAGGTCTGTGAATAGGATGCAATCGCATCAATAATTATTCGTATAATTAGAAATATATTCGATCGTTCGTCAATTTCAGTACGGCATATTCAGCGAATTGTTTCTTATAAAGTTTGGAGCAAAGCAACAAAAAGTGGAATCTCCCCAATGGGTGCTCCAGCGATTACGAGGAAGAGAAACTACGACAGCGGCAAGAGTGCGCAGCAGCTGCGTAAACTCTCTTACACCTGCCCGGCTGATATATCTTATTTTTCGCAGACAACGTCACATTCTGATATCACTATTCCTTAGTCTGAAACAGAGATGTTCTGATTCCGATCTTTCGACTAAATTAAAGAACACAAAATTGACGGAAATAGGTAGAACTCAAATCAATGCCCCTCTAACTCTTGACACTGTAGTTCTGGAAAAGGTAGAACAACCAACTGGATTTTGGGAATACTTCGGCTACAAACGGATGAACGAAAAAGTTAAAAGGCGCGTAGGTTGGCATTAACAGCGAGCAACAAGTTTTCCAAGCTTTAGAAGGACAAAGACGGCAGCAATGGCAAAAAAGCTGCGAAGGTACAGGGTACATTATGAAATCTTACTCCATGGCCTGAAGATGACAGGGATTAGCCGAGCTGATAGTAGAACATTGGAAGCGACACAAATGAGGGCTTCAAGATCAATGTTGGGAGTGAGGTGATAAGATCTGGCATAAAAAGTTGCTACAAGAGCGATTAGAATATCCAACTAATGTGATCGACTGGCTGCAAATAGGGCGTTTATGATGGTGCTGGTGGGGGTGGGGGGGGGGACATTGCCAACGAATGGACAACAGACGCCTTGCGAAACGAATGCTGAAGTAAGGCCGATGGTAGGCGGCTCTCAAAAAAGACTGAACGACCTCGTTAGATGCGATATGTAAGGGCAGAATACTGAACAAGCATCTATTCGATCGAGGTGGAATGTACTACGGCACCCTGCGTGATCTTTGATTCCATGGGATAAGAACTACTTACATCATGAAGCGTGAATCGTCATACGAATGGCACACACAGTACGGTCCCTTACTGTCGCCACAGTTGTTTTTTAGGTTACTTCTATCGTCGTCTTTTGCCATTCTAAAAAGATACTATAAAAACCATGAGTAAACTAAATCAG